CGAACTGCTATGCCAGTCGCAGCACTACTTGCATTTTCTCGAATAGGCGACACTTTTGTACCTTCTTCCTCAAGGTAGAGAGTCATTGCATTGATATCTTTAAGAATCGGTGATCGGATTAACACATTTAGATCGTCAGCAAATATGTGGGTTGAATGAGCACCAAGACATACGATAATATCACTGTGGAAAACGATGAATAGGTAGGGACTGAGTGAGCTTCATTGAGGTAGTCCAATGTAGATAAGAAACACACCAGACGATGTTTTACCGAAATTAACATATGCTTTTCTTCCAGACAGCCATGACACGATCATTTTAAGAAGTCCATGTGGCATTTCAAGTCGATATAGTTTTACTACGAGTCCAATATGCCACACTTTGTCATATGCTTTCTGATAATCATAATAGATAGCAAGTGTTGGGATATTACCAGCCAAATTATTTTTCACTTCTTGATAAATAGATAGTACTCGAGTTGGCAGTAAGCATCCTGGACGAAATCCAGATTGCTCAATCGGTACCAGTTGTTGATTCTCTGCCCAATGTCGAACTCTTTTTAGTAATACTTTTTCAAACAACTTAGAATGTGTGGCCAGTAATGAGATAGGACGAGTTTGATCACATCGAGGTACTCCTGCCTTTAATTTACTTAATGTGATTATCTTTGCTATCTTCCAAGGTTCTGGATAGCTACACTCGGTTAACCACTTGTTAAAACATTTTGTAAGACAGCCAGCGTATCCAGGTGGTAAAAGTTTGAGCATGTAGTTGGACACTGAATCATACCCAGCCGATTTCTTCTCTTTCAATTTCTTAATATATTTTGTAATCTCGAAGATACTTGTCGCTCTTACAGGCTCATTTGATGTTTCCAAGACTTTCTTCATCTCGATGTATTCCTTTTCAATTTCAGCATCGTGCGGATCATTTTTATCTAACGATGGAGGTTGAAATTGTTCTTCATAGTACTTGTAGAGTTCATCTGTAATTTCTTGTTCATCTGATAATGATTTTCCATTTACCGCCAGTTTGGAAAAAGGAAGAGTTTTTGGCTTGTATACTCTAGATAGGTAGTTCCAAAAGGCTTTCTCTGGTCTGTCATGAGAATCTTGTACAGTCGATAGAAAACTTTGCCATTTTTCCGTTTTATATCTTCCGATTTCTCTTTTCACTTCCCGAGTCAGTACTCGTAGTAAAACTCTTGTCTCTTCTTGGACATGGCCTTTCTTTCGCTGGCGGTAGTACATATTCCGAACTTTGCTCACATGCTTTATTTGGTTGATCACATATGGGGGTAGAGATGGTCGGTATTTTTCTCTTTTCTTCCATTGAGTTAGCCTTGATTTCAAAGCAGCGAGAAAGCGCACGTATTGCGAGTGCCATTCCTCACCATTCTCACCTCTTCTTTCTTGTTCGTCTACCCGAAACTCTTATAACAATGCAAGTACAGCTTGGAATGGGAGCCACTGCACATGTGGGAACATATTTGATGTATCAAAGTCCGCATTCACGCCTGTTAAAAGAATCGGCCAATGATCGCTTGTTCCCACTAGCATCGTTTCTGAGTTGAGACCTTCCAGGTTTGAGAAAGTGAGATCAATATGACGTAAAGATCGCTTGGATGAGTGAGCTGTAGATGGGATGAATGCCAGATTATTTTTTTCTATCTATTCTTTTAGAGTCTTCCCCCTTTTATCAGATGATGGACTTCCCCATTCTTGCATGGCTGCGTTGAAATCGTCCGTAATTATTGTATTCTCAATTAAGAATGGGTTAATCATCTGAAGCTTCCGTTTTTGCTCTTGAGGCCAATAGATGCCAATAATCCGTATAGATACTGTAAGACCATAAATATCTACCACCACAGTGTTTTCTATATCACAATCAATCTGATTAGCTTTCAGGTGCTTTCCAACTGCCACACAAACACCTCCACTTTTGTTTGTCCCTTTTTGATGAAAAGTATTAAAGACACACATTCTCTAACATAGTAGCGTTATCGTTGTCTACATACTCATCTCCTGCGAAAAAGTGTATTGATTCTTGTCGTGATTGATACAGTTTCTGTTCAAATCTTTCAACGCATTTCATGATCAGTTCTTCATCATCTTTCTTACCGTAGTCAAAGATTTTTTTCAAATTTAGATAAGAGTCTTGTAAGATTCTTATCAGAATCTTATATAAGAAGTGGCAGGAATGTCATAAGAATCATGTAAGAAGTTCATAAGAATTTGATAAGAATTTGTCCGCTTTCTTATGTTGTTCTTATCAGATTCTTATCAATATCTTACTAGAATCTTATAAGATTCTTATCTAATTCTTATAAGAAACGCTACACATATTTCTGCTAGAATTTTGCCTTTTCCCTTTATATTACTGATATTTTCGTTTTTTGTTTTCTATCAGCCGTGT